ATTACTTTCGTAATCTATATGCCCTTGATACATCTTTTTCTTTTACGTACAATCCACCTACCACAAATTGTATACATGAGCAAATCAAGAAATATCTCTCAATATCTTTGCTTGGTCATGTTGATCCTCTGTGTTGGTGGCAAATATAGCATTCCGAATATCCAATTTTAAGTATCATTGCCCGTGATTATTTGTCGATTCAAGCAACAAGCATTGCTTCAGAACAGGCATTTTCAATTGCTGGAATGGTAATTTCAGACGAAAGGAACAGATTAGAAGAAGAGACCACAAGAGCAATTCTTTGCTTAAAAACCTGGATCCGTAAAGGAGTATGCTAAATATAATATTTGTAACTGAAAAAATTAAAATATTGCTTGCTTTATGCTTTGAATACAATAAACATTTAGAACAATATGATATACATAGCATTTTCAAAAAAAAAAAAAAAAAAAAAAAAGGATAAATATATATAAACATAATCATAATTGAATAAAGATCTAAGTCCATATTGCTTGGTTTTGAAAGTGCGTTTCGCACACAGTTTCTTGATTATAGTTATTGACCGCTTATATATTGCAACTTTTTATGCGTACATTAAGTATTTACAAAAACCATTGCTTATTTGTAATAAATTGAGATTTTAACTTAAATAAAAATTTTCCGATTGAAGATGTGATTAAGGTTTGATCAGTTATATAAGTCGATTGATCCTATTGGTTTATTATCATGTGCAATCTCGAATTTCATAAATCGAAGGACCGGTTTTAGGACCGAGACCGGACCAAAAAAACTATTGGACCGGTTCTACCATGGACCGGACGGACCGGACCGGACTTATCCATCCCTACAGAAAACAAACTGAACATTGAAAGCCCGATTGTGGATTTTCCCTTGGCGGCATTCATATAGATACAGATACAGGTGCACAGATCTGGAACGTAGCGGAGACTCTACATTAAGTGATACAAAAATTACGTTTTTGATGCGCATCTCCCCCAAAAGTTGTTTTTTTATGCATCATCATGAAGATCATATCAGAAACGTAATTTGGAAATGTGGTCAAATTTGTTACCTTAGTGTAGCAAAATATGCATATTCACGCGTTTGTGTAATGAGATGATTATCATATGATGTGCTCTAGATCTAACAATGCTACGCATTGTACAGTACGTAGTGATAATTGGAATAAGAAAAGTGCTATTGCTACGTAGTGCAATATATACAGCTTCCAATAGCAAAAATTTTTAAAAAGTTACAGAATTTAAATAATTATATGGCACTTTTTTTTCTGTTTATCCTTACTATATTGAATTAGAGTTTAGAGATTTTCACTCCTCTATTAATATTATGCAATTTTGCTGTACATTCATTTAACCTAAAATTTTATCTATTTTAAATGAATCTTTTTATTTAGTCATATGTTATACTGCAAAAAGAAATCCGTTGTTATTAAGTTTAGTACCCATAATATTGGTTTTCATTGAAAAATTTGTGTTAATGTTGATGTAACAGTAGAGAATAAGGTTATAAATTTATACACAAAAATCTGTACCACTCTTACGGCCGCGTGATTGTAAAAAAAAAAAAAATCTTTAATAGGATTACATTTCATAGAGATATAAGATATATAAAAGCAAAGCAGGGCTTCACCCTTTATGGGAGCTTTGACTTTATAAAATTTTGAAGTTTTTGACTTTATAGAAGTTTTGTCATTTCGCAGGTTTCGTTGGAGGGTTAATCTAACAACGTCGACCACATATAATTTGATTTACATAGTGCGACATGCACCACAATGACTCGTTGATAATTGATAATATATTGATTATAAGAATAAATTTTATGTATTACATAAAAATATTTAATCTAGTAAATACAGTACGTATTGTCTATAAATTTTTATAATATTCTTTGTTTTACTTTTTTCTTTCATGCTTTCAGTTTAATTTTTCAAGGTTAACAAAGCCCTGATAAATCATTTTAAATATTATGAAAATATGGGATGTCCAATTAAAATTTGTAATAAATTATATTTGACCTATACCGAATTAATTTCAATATATATACTAATTTTTATTTTCAGATTGCATTGTTATATGTATATTATGGGTTAAGGTCATGATCGCTATGCTGTGGTAATCGTTTAAATCGTGACACATGCCTTGTAACAAAGGAATGTTCTTTTATATTAAATGTAATTTCTACTTTGTTAAATTCGTGATTAAATAAATACATTAACTATGTTTTGAAAACACGAATTTCTTACTATATAGTGACACGAATAATTTAAAATCTTTGTAAATAATTTATGAAACTAGTTTAATAAATTTATTTATAATGAATTCATAATAAAGGATGACAATGATAAAAGTACATATAGGGAATGACTTTTACATAAATATAAATAAAATTTACATAAAGAAATTTTTCAAAACAAAGTAAAATAAAAGATTTGTTAAACATTTACAGGATTATAATATAACAAAGTGTCCTCATGATGACTAATATTGATTGTTGAGTTATCAGAAAAGAAAAATTGTTGAACGTAATCTTGTTGATTTGTATCAATAAAATAATTGTTTTCTGAAGAAAAATCAATATTCATAAAAGGTTGAGGTTCAATAGTGGATGTAGTAACTTGTAAATTCGGACTGCTAAAAGAAAGAACATTATTATTAGCAGTCATCAATTCACAATGAAAAACAGAAGATGATGGTGAATGATGTAAAATATTTTCATTAGAATCAAATTTTTCGGTTTCGTAACAGCCTTTTTTTCTAGGATAAATTTTGATTATTCCAGGTAAAAAATTTTTCTTGCTATTTCTTTTTCGAGTATTCGATGGATTTCGAATATTCGATGAATTTTTGATTTTCAACTTCTCAGACTTTTTTTTTTTTACACAAGATTTATTTTCAGGATTATTAATACGTGTATTATCATTTGCATCAGACTGCTTTTCATGTTGAGTTGAAGAACTCTTGGTCGTAGAAAACTCGAGAACATCGGAATCGCAAATATTTTCTAGAATTTTAGAGTGGTCTTGATCACTTTTTTTAAGTTCATGATAAAGTTTTCTCATTTCGATAATTTGTTCATTTGTTGTTTCCGGATTAATAATTTCTGAAAATATAAATTTCTCAAATTCATTTATATTTTTAGGAAAAGATATTTCGGTAATTAATCGTCTTAATTCTTTTTCGGCAAGCTCAAATCGGTCAAGTAATTGTTTAAGAATATGAAAATCAACTGTTGCTTTTGAATTTTCATGAACGTTTGGAGAGTTTGGAAGACTACATTTTTCTTTTTCATCTCCAAACCATGATATTGAACTAATTTCTAATTCACCTTGTTGACTTGGAAGTAACTCCATTTGAATTATATATTTTTTGTTTTTTTTAAGAAAAGTATTTTAAAGTGACAAGATTTTTAAACGAAAATAAGTTTATTTTCACAATGTATTAAATAACGCGATTAAGAATTTAAAGTGCTTTTATAACATTTTTAAAATACTGAAAGGCTTTTTTTTTTTGTTTAATGTTTATTTGTTTGTGTTCAATTATGATATATGTGATTTATAATAACCAAGGCCGAACACACACATATCACCGAGTGTATTGTTTATGTGCCAAATTACACATTTTTTCACCTGATAAGGATCTACTAATAGATGAAGTGTTCGCAGAAAAGATGAGTATACATATAAATAAATAGAAAAAAAAAAAATAAAAACACCTTATCTATTTTTTAATCTATAACAGTATAAAGATATATAATAAATAAATATAATACGTAGTTAAAAAATTTTGTTTCTTCTTAATATTGTGAATTGTAAAATTATTTTTTATATTTATGATACATATTATAGAAAAAAAAAAAAATTAAATAACTTTATGTTTATAAATTATTTTATTGGCTAGGTTAAATTTAAATTTATTTTGAAAGTTTTTCTCATTTAGGTTGAATGTTTTTTTTTTCGGTTATCGTATGATATGATACGCTTATACGACGTGAGATAACCGTGAGATAACCGTGAGATAACCGTGAGATAACCGTGAGATAACAGAATGATAAAGCCGTTACATAAATGCCTAACTAGTTAATCTTATCCCAAAGAGTAAAATTACTTTTTACCACACTCTGCATATGAACAAATTATTTTTCATTAAATTCAATTTTAGTAACATCTTTTACATTAGTAACATTTATTACAATATACTATCCACAATATAGTTTTCTCTTGTGTCTACTATGACTTGACTATTTGCAGAAAAATTTTCTACAATAATACATCCAACTCTTTTTAAGGGCATTAAAGAATCTATTTTTAAGACACATGCTTAAAAAACTTGTGAAAAAACTTTTAAAGTAATCTTAAAGTAATCTTAAAGTAATCTTAAAGTAATTAACAGAATTAATTCAGTGCACTTAGTACTAATAAGTGCTAAGCATAAAATACAGTACAAAATACAGTACGTAAGCGCTATGTTAAATAAATAGCAAATTACTTTAATAAACGTCGGAACATGACATAGTTCGAAACTATGTGAGAAACAAATAAACAGAAGGTCAAAAGTTTACCAGTGAATCAATTTCATAAAGTATAAATATACTTTCGAGCTGCTTATTATCTTTAGTTATTACTTTTCGGGCTGTTACATTAATCGAAATGAATATAATTTAATGTTAGAAAAGATTCGGATTTTGTAGATCTTTTAAGAAAGGCGACTAACTTTTTATAGACCCTATCACCTATTCAAATGTCTATTTAAATACCAAGAAAAAGAAACCGTTACATTATACCGGTAAAATAGATAAATAATGATAAATTCAGTTATAAATATGCGGAATTGTTTATTTCCGAAAACTAATTTTAGTCCGCCCGCAATGATGAAAACAGTGTGATCATCATTTCGTCATTCGACAAACAAAACATAATAATATGATCCTGAAAAAATTTATTCATTTCGAATTAATTCTCTTAATATAAGTATACACATTTCTTATTTAAAAACTTGTTAAATCGGAACGTCAGTTATAGTAACAGTTAAAAAGATTCTTATCTTCTTAAATTACTGTAATTGGCTTCATAGAACATCATATGATCTGTTTTGAAGTTTATTAGTTTATTGTATAATCAGAAAGTAGAGTTTATTGGTTGAGACTACTTAAATTACAATTATTCGATATCGATTATACATATTTTGGTCGCGGATAACTCCCCGTTAATAATAATAATAATAATAATAATAATATTATTATTATTATTATTATTATTATTATTATTATTATTATTATTATTATTGTTAATAAAACAACGATTCTTCTTTATTAAAATATCATTCCTTAAGCAAGTATGTATGTAATAACATACAGTATCTAAAGAATGAAGCATGCAAGATGAGATTAAAATCTTTATCAATGTACTATAACATTACACTAAATCAGTTCAAAAACTCAATTGTTGAGTATGTAGCAATAATGAATATTGTGTCAAGAAATAACATGCCCAAAATGCCTTGAGCTCGTGAAAACAGTATCTTGTGACTCAAATTTTATGCTATAAAGGAAATTTGCGGTGAAGTAACTCCGAGTTAACTATATACCTGGATGCAACGTACGTTCAATATTCACTAATTTTGTATAAATTAATTCATAATTAGATTTTATTGTAAAAGTAAAGTATTATCAACTACTTTGCTTCGTTATCATTGTTATGATTTCGGAGATAATTGTAGAAATACATAGAAAGCTACGTTTGGAAATTCTCTTCACTACCTTTTTTTTTTTTTTTTGGTGTAGAACATAATTATTATAAAGCTATATTATAAAATTATCTTCTGAAACACTGATCGATTCGATCAAAGAAGAATAATCGTGTTTCATTTACGTTAAACAAGGTTTTTTTTGTTGGTTATAATGGTAATTCATTTAACTATAATTATAATTTTTAAATTAAAAATTGTACGAATTATTTCAACTATTTTTAAATATATATTTTTTAAAATATCATTAACATATGTTCATTAACATTATAATATATTTTATATTTTATATTTTATATTCATTTAATTTTTAATAATTCATTTTCCTTATATTATTATATTATCAAATATAAAATTTATACTTCTTATTAACCTTTTTTAAAAAACTTATTATTTAAAATTCCGCTCTTCTTAATACGTATTATCGGAATTTTTGCTTCTTAAAATAAAAAAGGTTATGTGTTCTTTATTATTTAAAAAAGGAATATCATTATCAAAATTTATTTGTCTTAAAGATTTCCATTGTGTTACAAATTAGAGTAAATAATAAACAAACTTAGCGCGTTTATCTGTTATGATCTTAATTCTATTAACCAATATTAACCATTTAAATTTCTTTTGTTGATCATTTCTGTTTTAATATATTTCATACTTTAACAAATAAGATTCTCTTAATTGATCCTCGCACAAAATCTTGCAACCATTACAGATGGATGAGATGACCCTCAACGCCAAATCTTCTAATTTTGTTTTAATTATTGGTTGTAGAATGTTTCATTATTAAAAATATTCAATTCGGCCTTGTGATCATTCAAAGTTACTTCTCAATTCCATTTTTTAATGGATTTTTACATGCACTGAAGTATAATGTTCATCATTGATACGTTGTTTAAAAAGAAAATGGTACCATATAAGCATTAATTTTGCTTTTTGCTTCTTTGTTTCCGTTTCACCATTCTCTGTGTCTCAATTTCGGGTTGACAATTCACTTTTTGTAAATTTTGCACTACTTAATCGATGACATTTACTTTTATTTTTAATTTTTTTTTTTTTTTTTGGTTTTTGTTAAACTTCATTTTTGTGTCCATTTTCTTTGTAGTTTGTCAAGAACGTGACGGCCGATAAACTGCTTGTCCGAAAGGAAAATAACCAATAAAAAACCTGTTCTATTCCAGGATCTAATGTAATTATTCTTATTTTTGTCTTAGAAACATCCTTATTTTGTGTTATTACTTATCATATGATGAATGTATCCACTTCTCAAATAGGATTCTATACCATAATCCTAGAATGGATTTTTATGGATAATATTGCTTGTTATATCCATCTTTTTGTACTATTACAGTATATTCTTTTTTTTTTTTTTTTACGCTGTCAAAATGGGTTTTGTTTTTGCTTTCCCTGCTGGTTCTTTTTTATTTGCCATCTTTCCATCTAAAATTCTAATATGCTCTTTTTTTTATTTTATTTTATAATAAAATACAGAACGCGAGAATTCGTCTGCTGTTCCCTCATCGAGTCATAAATTCGATGCTTTAATCGAAAAACTAAGATAAGTTGTAGATACAATGTCAGACGGCTCTTGATTTTGCAATATTTGTGAAACATATTTTTGCACTTTGTTATAAGAGTTACTCAATATTTTCAAATTCATAGACTAATAAATTAATTCTATGTAATAGTAGTCTACGTATTCCCTCAATCTTATCATTCACTTGTTGACTCCAATTGACTTTAATTAAATTTAATAATTCAAAATATAATAAAATTATATCTGGATGTTATCTTTGACTTTCTATGACATTTATTTTTCAGGTTTCAATTCTTTAATCCAATATAACATTATTCGAATTGTATTTTAATGCTATGTTAAATTCCTATTTTAACATCCGCACTTATACGTTATACAGTACAAAGGTAATACACGAATTTTCAAAATTTTATAATTAATCACCTGCCTTAATCTGTATTTGTTATTCATGACTATCATAGTTATCATTTCTCACATGATCGGAATCTCTAACATTTACTTATTTTTAATTCTATTATTATCATATTTCTTATCTGTTATTCTTCCGTATAATATATACATACTTTGCTAAAAATTGCAATTTTTATGCAATCATAACATTTCCATTTTTTAAGTCATCTGATAGAAATATCCTAGCCTATCGCCAATCTCATTAATAGTGCTAGTAAGAAACTAATAAATAAACAACTTAGAATATAATAGCATAAAATATGGTTTTTATAATGATTACAATACAGTGGCTCCCAAAAAAAATGCATCACATGAATTTTTTTTATAATAAACATAGTAAATATTGAAATTTTCACTCTATAGTAAGTTTATTATAAAAAATTTTTTTAATTATTTTATTTATATTATTATAAAGTTCATCGATTATAGGCTTTAAAAATTATTTTTTGAGATTTTTTAAAAATTTCCTTAGAAAATTGGTCTGATCGAGAACATAAAGTTTAAATTTTTTATAAGTATTATAAAAATTTTGAATTTTATTTTCTCAATCAGACCAATTTTCTATGAAATTTTTAAAAAATCCCAAAAAATAATTTTTAAAGCCTATAATCGATGAACTTTATAATA